AAACCACCCTCTGTCAGAGGAAGAACTTGAGGTTTTCGGGATAGATTGGGAGGGGTTACATGACGATGTCCTTCTGAAATCCTTGAGGGGAAATTATAGCAGTGATGGAGTTACGTCATGGATCGGCCAGCGGGGACCTCCTCCCGAGTTGAGTGAGGTGGTAGTGGAGCCTCCGCCTTGCTCTCTCTCAGAGGAAGAGGTTTGTTCCCTATTGATTCATGTATCCGGTCTACCAAAGACCCCCCACAAGGAAGATGTACATAGGCTTTGGATAGCAGCACTTGTATATGCCCGCCAACTACGTTCGGATCTTTTCTAGCTAGAAGTAGTATTTGACAATTCATTTCTGGTGATCTATATATTCTGATAGGTACGATCCAAGCCGATATGAACCAGGAAGGAGTTTTCACAAAGTAGAGTCAGACACCTATGGCCCACCAGAGACACGGAGGCATATGACCTACCAGGCTCGGCACTCGGCACTCGGCGCTCAAGCCCCAACTGGTCTCCGACCGAGCCCTAACCAAGCTGCCCACGAGTGCCCACCAATAAGCCCACAAGCCCGTACTGACCTGCCTACAAGGTGATGCCAAGCCTCTCCCTCAGCCCTACAAGTGTCTCGCGAAAGTTAACTATAATGGGGGCATCCAGAGGAGTAGTTGTATGGTATACGATACCAGCATTGCTCGTACGTTTTAGAAGTATTCGGCAGACTTGTACCCAGTACCTCATTGTAGAGTGCAGATATCACCCAGATCACCGCTTTCAAAATGCACGTACCTAGTGGAGGGCAGCAGGCCTAGCAGGAATGGACTCACGCTGAACGATTTCAAAGTACGTCAACGTTCAACGAAGTACGTTTCTGACATGAAGTACGCGAATGACGTACAATTCTGGCAACGCAATACATTTTTGACAGAAAAATACCTTCATACCCTCCACTTCTGATGTTGAACGCCCTCTCTCTGTATGTCGTCAGTCTACTGCTCTGCACTTTACCTTCCCCTTTGCACACGAAATTTTCGCCTGGTCCGCTCTGGGTACGATTCCAGGAATCGATGACTACATTTAGATGAACCTGCTAACCAAAGAGTTTTCTTGGCAGAAATCGAATGTAACGCAATCGTTAGGGGATCGGGTGAATGCTGCCTACTCAGCGTTATTTGAAGTAACATTGCGATTCAACCAAGGTGAGTTGTGGGCGAACGTTAAAACCAATTCTTCTAACCCGGACCTATGCCACTCAGAACCTGTCTCCATAAATTCTGAGGCCCAACCCTTTGGACTGCCCCAATACTATGTAGCCCTAGCAAACTTCGAACTCGCGAATCAGGGCAACGGCTCGTTCCTCGAGCTAGCTAGACAGTATTTCGAGAAAACTCCCATTTGTCCCGATTCAATAGGACTAGATTGGCCGTTCCCCCCAGGTTACACCCTTCGCGAGGCAATGTGAGTAACACTCTGACCAATATACTCAGTCAAGTCATTTCGCCATCGCGCAACCTCCTATTCGCAGAGATCATGGTTATGCTGCCATACGTTGGTACAAGGCCTCCAGAGAAGACGCTTTTCTCCAAAAAGCACGGCTGTGTTGGATCCTAGCTTATGAACTCACGATTTCTGAACAAATGCGAGCGTATACGGAAACATTGCATGTCGAAGGGTTCATGGGACCGAAAAACTTTACAGTTCCAACTGAATGCGGAGGAAAGCTTCTCGAAGGCGCGACGTTCCAAGTGAGGCTTCATTTTCATCCGACCCGGAGACGACCACCACACTGACACACACACCCTCCCTTATGGTAGAATCTCGAAAGCGCAAGAGATGGAAATTTGAGTATTTATGATACTGCGTAAGATTTGGTATCTTTTTAAGGTTCTTTGGCTGCGGAGAATGATCTCTATTACTTTTTTGCAGTCTGTTTTCGCTGTAAGCCCTTTGCACCTTCAACCTTTGATGAAGAAATTTACAACTTCTGGCGCCTGTGAAAGGTTTTCCACTTTGCTCGCAGACTCGGAACCATCGAACAAAACATATGTTGCGGCAGCTACTAAATCGTTAGATTTCGTGCTGACTTTTGCGACTGAAATCGCCATCGCCCAAAATAATATGTAGGCTCCAGGATACTCTTTCTTTAGCATTGGACAGACAGGAGGCCTTTTCCTCGAGTGGGATCGGCGTCAACGGCATCCTTGCAAACCTTATGGAAACCGCAGACTGGCAGCTTCGAACAAGAAGACGGAGATATGTATTTCTTGAGAGCGCTGGCCGAAGTCCTGAGGAGAGGATCTGGAAAACTGTCAGCTGCCCTTCGAGAATCGATTGAACAGATCCTGGGAGTGCATGTGAGTGGGGGTTTTTCCTAGTCGTGGCTCGAAAAGGTATTGAACCTTCACAAAGTATAACGCCATCCGCGACTATGCCACCTCGGGGGGCAATGTGTACGGGAGGTCCTGGATCCGAGGCCAACCGAATTCTACCTTTGACCTATACAATCAAGCGGCCGCTGGTCAAATCCTGGTGGACGGGATTGATATTTTCGAGCCGAATAGCAGCATCACACCGTCTCCCAATGGCCCGTTACCATCTGTCCCAGATACTCCCGGATTGTCTGCAGGAGCAATCGCCGGAATCGCAACTGGCTCCGTTGTCTTTCTATCACTCATAGCTCTTATCGTCCTCTATGCTATTCGCCAACAACGTTACAGAAAGCAAGCGGCTCCGTCCGTTCAATCCGTGACCGATGGTATAACGCCCTTTGTTGCCGACCTATCCGAGAAAAGAGCAGATTCCTCCCCAAAACATACGTTCGCATCTCAGTCTCACATCGTAGCAGTGTCAACTCCACGCCTAGAACCACTCAGACGATCAGACACCGCTTCTTTCCAATTGACATCGGATCCAGCACACGAAGGCGAGGAACGTGGTGGTCGCTCCGATACGGCTGTTGAACCTGTCGCTGATACTGGGGAGTTTGGGGTAGATGGGATCAGAGTATTCGCTCCCAGCCAGATGGCCCAGGAGCTCGCACTCACAGCTCCTGACCTCATCCGTGCGCTATACCAGCGTCTGTGGCAGCCCGGTGGGCTGGACAATCCACCGGACTATCGTAGTAACGCCGGAGACCTTCCAAACATAGACCCAAGGCTGATAGTCGCGCCTCGTACTGGGTCCCCTTCTCTTCGCCGCCACAACAGCCTTTAAACAATGCCGGCCGCCCCCCCCCCAATCCCCAATTTCTCCCCTTTGCCAAAGTCAGATAATGGTATATACTATTTGACTCAAACTCGTATCAAAATCCACGCGTCGTATCTATGGCTTGCCTTATGTATCAGATTTTCTCCATTTCCACTTTTCTGGTCGGTATGAACACACGATTACTCTTTGACGACCTATGTAGCTTTGAGTACATGTATTGATCGGAGGACGCGCAAAAATCCAATCCGCCCTTCGGTGACGTCTGAAGCAAATATAGAGGGTGTGAGAATTCTAAAACGCCAACGTCTCGTAGACTCGATACCCCTCTCTTCACAACCACTCGTGCCTCGCGATGAGCGGAGACGTTTTGATCGACGGGTACTCATTAAAACGTCTTTTCGTCGTAGCGCGGCGGTTCGAGCCTAAACGCTGCGTGAGAAACCTCCTACGGAAGCCGAGTCTTTTCTGATGTCTGGACGATTTTAAACGAACGGATGTGCGAAGTAGAGAACTAGATTTGTTTCAGAGCAGTGGTTCGATAGTGACCGGTATGGTCAAATCATAGGAACCATTCCGTATGTAGTTCGTCGTCACGGATTGTGAATATATGACCATGATTCCGAATAACCCAACAAAGAGGCGACATCTAGATATCAACGACTATCGCCCCCTTCAGCTCGTCGTCCACCAGCCGATGACCGCCAACGGCCGCGGCATTCACAAGAATCGTGGTTTCTGCTTTTGTCTGACTGCCGAATAGCGAGGAGAACCAGTCGACTACCGTCAACCATGTGAGCCTCATCAAGCCAACGATCCCAGCTCTCCCAGCGCACACGTCCTCATAAACCCTCTGCTTGCCATCCCAGTGAACAACCTCGACTCCTCTGCCGACATGAATGTGACCAAATACGTGTAGTCGCGGTCGAACGCGCCAGAGAGCCGTCAGAAGTGCGTAACAGCCTTGACCCATGCCAGTTCCCCAGTTCCTACCATCGAGATGGGCGTATGGCGGACCGTGTGTTACGACAATGTCGACCACTGGTGGAATGGTATTCCAGATTTTGGTCGACTCGTACGACGACGTTGGAGGTGAGGTTGCTGAATACCATGGTGCATGGACACGAGGGTATTGGAATTTGAATGAACCGTGTTTGGGGGTGTAAGGGCTTCCGTAGATGCGTACAATCCTCTCATTCTTCCTCTCCTTGCCATTCCCAGGGCTAATGGTGACTTGAACCTCCGAGTTTTCGAGATACGTCAACTCCGGATACGTTCTCACCACGTAGTCCTTCATCACATCCTCGGCAAGACACGTATCATGATTCCCTGCGATGAAGATCTTGTGCGGGTGGGGTTGGTTGGAAAGCCAGGATAGGACATCATTGAGTTCCTTTCTAGATCCTGAGACGGTGAGGTCTCCGGCGTGAATGAGAATGTCGCCTTGGGGTAATTGAGGTTGAGAGTTATGGGTGTTATGGGTGTCGGAGATGCACACTACACGGATGGATGACTCCTTAGAACTTGAAGATACGAGGGATGTCGATAGAACGGAAGTGGGGTGGTATATGAGACGAGCGAGGAATAGAACTGGAGATGATTGAAAGCGGTCCCAGGCGGATTCGGATTGGCGATTGAGAAGGACGTCCATTCAGAGGATAGCCTGACAATTTCCATGATCGGGAACGAGTAAATGTCAAACAAGGCGATGGATGAAGACGGCGGAAAGGACTGTGTACCCAGACATCATGCATCATCTGTAATTCAACCTGGCCAAAAAGAAAACGCGGATTCGTAACAGTCATTGGCCAACGTGGGGATCGAACCCAAGACCTTCGCGTTAATACGATTATTAGCACGACGCTCTAACCAACTGAGCTAGTCGGCCTCTATACAAATCTGCCCACCATCATATGATCTTGCGTCTTGTTAATTTCACACTTAGTACAAAGTCCGGACTTGATTGCAACAGAGATATTACATGCACGATCCGGACCAGTAAGACGAGAAATATGAAAGGTCCCATCCGAGTCGTTCACTCATATATACAAGCACTTCTAAGAAAATCTAAACGCCACTCACTAATGCCTTCCCCCAGCACCAACTTCGTCCTCCAACCTCCACCTTCCAACAATCCCCATGGCTTCCCTATCCCCACCCTCCAACTCCGGTAACCCTAGTAGTTCTGACACCATCTTCCACGGATCCCTCCCACCTCCGTACCTCAACACCCTCTTTTTATACCTCTCACCCACATCTCGGTTCAACGGGTCGTCCGAGAATACCTGACCCCAAACTCGTGAAGCGATAGCGCGTCCGAGGAGGTACGAATAGTAAGTCGCGCCGTACCCGAAAAGGTGAGAGAACTGTGTTTGGTACGACGTCCCCTCGACGTAGGGGATCAGGCCAGACGCGTTTATAAGATCCGCGTATACCTTCGTCGAGTCGAATTTGTTGTCCAAGGGTTTAGTGGAGTGATATTCCTGGTCTAACGCGGCCAGGAGGAATTGTTGGAATGTATCAATCGAGTGACACGGGTCGATATGGTGGTTGCCTGCTACGGTTGACGGTGTCCCAGTGGACTGGGCGGAGAAGAGCGATAAGACGACAGGGGAGCTGAGGAAATGTTCCATGAGGATTGAGGGGAGCTCGACGAAGTCGGTTGCACATCGCGTTCCAGAGACGTTTTGATAGTCGGTACGGCCAATCATTGCTATGGAACGAAAAGAAAATATGAGAACATGCGGGTGCAAAAAGGAAAAGGAAACGCACAATGCATCGCATGTCCCATTTCGTGGAACAGTGTATTCACCTCATGCCATTCTAATACCGTGGGTCCCCCCTTCACACTCGGCCTCGCGAACTCGCAAAGCAACACTACAAGCGGCAACTGATAAACACCCTCCTGCCCAGGAACCTTACACCTCTTAATCTTCTCAAACTCGATTGACTCCCTAATCTCCTCGACTTCCTCGAGACTGCCCTGCTCAGCCTCTGGTATGAGATCGTTGACCTCGTCATCGTCGTCTGTTCGTCGAGAACAACGGACGGTGTAGTGAGCAGCTCCGCTTGCCTTCCCCCGTCGAGCGAATAGGTCGGCGTATATCCATCCAACGACACCCTTCTCCTCGTCTACCACCTCGAGCTTGTGCACATCGCTGTGCCACACTTCTCCGTGTTGCGGATGAACGGGACGCAGCGAAATCCCATACAAGTGCTTGAAGAGCCTAGACAGGCCCATAAACACAGTTCCAACAGTTAGAGGCGGAAGGGGAATAGGTGGAGATGGAGGTTCGGGAGGACAGTAGAAGTCCCGGTCCCAGGCCTGGATCACAGGAAGGGAGGGACCGGGAAGGTTCAAGTGCTGTTGTTTCCGAAGACTCAAAGCGTGTAACGCGCTGAGTGCAGCGGGTCGGGTGTGATCCATGAGGGCGTTGAGGAACGTCCTCACATTCTCGGGCGATTTGGCCATCTTGTCGTCTAACGAAAGGTGCCCATAGCTTTCGCTCCCGACGAGCCTCGCCAGTTCTGCGCGTTTCTGGAGGAGCGTTTCGAGAATTTCGATTTGCTCGTCCGTACTCGAGTACGCGCCTATGTAGACTTTCCTCCGTGGATCTTCCTGGGGTGCAGAGCGCATAATCATTTGGGCTTGCAACGAGCCAGGATAAACCATTAGATCCCTTCCCGTGAATCTTGCTTGGAGTTGTAACCGAACGCCCATTCCCTGATCCTTCAGGCCCGCTAGTTCGGCTGGTTTTATCGACACGGGTTGACGAGGTGTCGCTGCTTCTTTAAGGAAATGTCGGCCCAGGACAAGAATATCGGACGACAGCCTAACGAATTGAGAGCGCGTTTCGGGCGGGAGGTTGATAGCAGACTTTTCGAAGTCTTTCCAGAATATGAGGCCAGTTTGGTATGCTTCGGGTGAGAGAGACTGAAGGATTTCTGGGGTCGTAAAGACGACCTTTAGGACCTGTGGGCGAGGAAATCAGTACACATATACTTCAGCCACGTTGAGCCCTATACGCACCTCGTAAAGTCCTACATGAGTATTTAACACATTCATAAACTCGCACAACATCTCATACGCATGATTCGCTGCTTCCACCCACGCCCTGTCCGGGTGAGCGTTCCTCACCAGCTCGGACAAATCAATGACCCCACATAGCAGATCGCTGAGCCTGTCCAAATTCTTGACGACCTTGTACAACTCATCCGGACTCTCCGGGGCGCGTAATATTCGATCTGTAAGTGCCTGTGCTCGTACGAGGGTTGCGTTTGCTAATGAGATGAGGGCTCGTGGGCTCGTGAGCGATGGGTGACCGAAGAGCCCAGTTTGGGAGAAATTGCCAAGGGAGACTGCGCCTGTGGGATTGTCGAAGAGTGTGACGAGTGTTTTGTCTTCGTGAGATGCAGGAATTATCGGTCGGGTGAGTGTCGATGCAGGTCGTGCACGAGGAGCATGGAGGCAGCCTCGAAAGCGAAATATTCGTTTGGAAGAGGTCGATTTTAGAGCATTTCTGGCGAGCATAAAGAATGTATGAAGGGAAAGAAGGCCACCTGGCTGTGGTGGTCCAGAATTGAAAAATGACTGCAGGAGAGATGGCCCGAATGGGCGGTCCGCGGCTAGAACGCGTCTAGAGATTTGTCATCAATTGGGCCATCTGTTATTGGCCAGCCGGCATTGACCTTGTCAAGTTCTCTCATTTGCGCCCAACATCAACTACATTGCCTGATCTGAAGAGCTCTCAGGATGCCCCAGAACAGCATGAGGCATGCTATCATCGCTATCATGCTCGATCATCCTAATATCTACCCGCCGATATGGTTCATATCCGAACAGTCCATAACCATATGGCAGACCTTCGACGGCCATGCCTAACCATGCTCTTGTGATTCTTTCTAAGCTTTTTTTGCCTCTCGACAGCCACAATGGAGCTCCCCATCATTGATCTCGACATTTTTCTCTCCCAGCCTCCCGACTCTCAAGCCGTGAAAGAAGAATGCAAGAAGGCAGCAGACGCATTAATCACTTTCGGTGCACTTCTCCTCCACGACTCTCGTGTTTCGGAGTCCCAGAACAACACCTTTTTGGACTTGCTCGAGGACTATTTCGCTCAGCCAGCAGAAGTTCTCAGGGAAGACGAACGACCCCAGTTCTCCTACCAAGTTGGGGTCACCCTCGAGAATACCGAAAAGCCAAAATGTGCTGTCGATGAGCCATGCCTCAAAGTCATCGAGAAGCTCGATCCGGCGGAGAGACCTCTCGACATCACCGCTCACCAACCGGATCCGAAATGTCGTTTCTTCTGGAGTATGAGCGAGAAGCCACCATACGAGACCGCGTTTAGGACATTGAACATGCCGAATGTCGTCCCACAGGGCGAAGGAATTAAAGAAAGGTGGACGCCCGGAATGGAGGGATGGGGGACCCTCATGAAACAGGCCGTGGAAGATCTGGCCTCCATGGCCTCGCTCGGCCTTGGGTTGGATGAGAACACGTTTCGCGATGCTGGGCGTTACGGGTCAATTGCCACTCATAGTAACCGTTCCAGTACACTGACGTGAATTTCAGTCCTCATCTCCTCGCTCCCACCGCCTCTGACCTCACAAAGTACAACGAGAAAGACACCATCCTGGCAGGCTTCCACACCGACCTCAATTTCCTTACCATCCACGGTCGTTCCCGTTTCCCTGGTCTGCATATCTGGGCACGGAACACGGGAAAGCGAATCGCTGTTCAGATGCCTTCTGGTAACTACCTCCTCGTGCAAGCCGGGAAACAGTTGGAGCATTTGACGGGTGGACTGGTGAAGGCAGGATTCCATGAGGTTGTGGTCAGTGAGAAGACGATGGAGGTAAGTCGCGTTCAAATCACGTCGAAAGAACGTGCCGTCTCCAGATACTCACTGACTGCTCTGTGCGCGTTACAGACCATTGAGAAACGCAAACAACACTACCCTGACCGACCCCTCATCCGGATTTCGTCGACGTTCTTCTGGCATCTGTCTTCCGACTACGACCTTGCCCCTATTCCGTCGCTGGTGGAACGGTCCAAGGCACTGAGAGCTGATTTGATCAACTTGGGGAAATACGAAGTGGACGAGGCAATTTACGAGCCGATGAAAGTCGGGGAACAGGTTCAGAAGTACGTTTCCATGCTACTCGCTTCTTTCTTAGTTTTCTTACAGTTTTTGTTGCAGCGAGCTGAAACATATCGCGCTTATGGCATGAAGATATAATTGTACAAATCCATGAAGTGCTTACCTCCTGCAATAATTATTCTTGCTGCCCAGAAGGTCATATTCAAGCAAGAACGTGGCGAGGCACAGCCGAGCCCCTTCAAAATGAATAAATGCTGAACACACCTTCGTTGGTCGCTGAAGGGATGGACATTGGTGGTGGTATCTGGGCCATTTTATAAATACCCCCCGGCACTGAGTACAGGGTACTCCAATGGTCCCCTTGCGTGGCGGTGGTGCGACGCCTGGACAGCACTAAAAGGCTGGACAGAGATTTCCTGTGTATTGTCGTGTAACCCGCTTCGACCTCGTCAAATTGGAGTGCTTAGGAGCAATATTTCTTTGGTGGTCATCCCGATTTCCATTCGACCCATTCGAGACCCGGATCTTGCTACGGCAATAACCTAGCGACCGATGTGAAGGTGAGGAAGTGAAGGCTGTTGTGGTGATCCCTCAATGTTGACGTGATTGTCCAGTGGCCTGGTCGCCCGCCTGTAGCTTGCAAGGACCCAGCCCAGAGCCAAGAGCCCTACGATAGCTAAAACCTTCTGAAACACAATGCCGTTGGACGTGTACTAGTGCTTTGGGAATGCCACTCTGATGGGACTTACTTATCGAGGCACTGGCGGGTGAATTGGCGAAGGTT